CATAAACTGCACACATACGCAAACATAAACACATAAACACAATCAAAAAAACATGACTCATAAAAAATACGAACAATGATTATGGTGATGACGACGACGATGATGAAAATAATTACAATGAAGATGATGTAATAACAACAATGACGATGATGGTGACGATGATGATGACGATGATGATGACGACGACGATCATGAATTATGTACACTGCCGACATCATCATCATCATCATCATCATCATCATCATCATCATCAAAGAGACCGACTTTGTTGTGGCTGTTCATATAGCGGCTCATTCTGATGATGATGATGATGATGATGATGACGACGACGATGAAGATCATTACCATCATCGTGACAGATCATCATCATTATCATCATCGTCTCCATTACCATAATCAAAGTCGTTATTATATAAAAGCTATTAGAGAGGGTTTTTATTATCTTTTCAAAAACTACTATAACCATCACCACCATCCCCTCCATCATCATCATCATCATCATCAACAGCAACTATGCATCATCATCATCAACGACAGTAAAGCGCTTTTTATAATGGTAGAAAATAATAATTCATCATTAATTCGCTCCAGAATGAAACAAGTAACAACAACACAACAAACTGGCTTGCGTGACAATATAAACGCACGCGCACGCACGCACATGCACGCACACTATGACGTCACTGTCATCGTCGTCGTCACATCATCGTCATAATGACAGCCACATCACATCATCATGACCAGCATCAGTCAACAATCGCATCACAACATCATCGTTGTTGTTGTTGTTGCTGATGTTGGCTCCTAATCTTAATCATCTTAATTGTGGGAATTTTAGAAAAATTTTAAATAAGCCACACAAAAATGCAAAAAAGGTAAGGTACTGCTGCTATTACTGCTGCTGCTGCTACTACTACTGCTACTACTACTACTAACAATAATAAATAATAACAATAATAAAATTCTATTATTATTATTATCATATTGAATGAAATATGTGAATTCTTTCAGCCCAAACACAGAGGAGAGCTAATTTAGCTACATCTAATTACTCCTTTAATTATTGCTTGTTAGTAATTATTGCCACAAACAAACATGGACGAGTGCTGATGATGAATGAAGTGTTGATGATGATAATGATGATGATGATAGTTGTTTTGGCGACAGTTGTGGTGGTTGGTGATAATGACGATGGCGCTGATGATGATGATTATGGAAAATGTAAAATAGATCAGTCAATAAAAAGGAATAGAAAGAAAACAAATGAAAATCTAACATACAGACACACACACACACACGGACACGTACACACACACACGAACACGCACACACACACAAACAGACAAGAATTTTCTTATACTCACAGCAAAGCTACAAGAACAACTCACTTTAAAACATTACCATGAGAGTTAAGCCAGAAGAATGTACATCTATTCATTAATATGCATCCATCAAATCAACACATTCTGCAAAAAAAACACAAACACACACACACACGCACACACGAAAACACACACACGCGCACACACATACACGAAAACACACACACGCGCATACACACACACACATACAACACACATTTGCTCTACACGTGTTTGCACATGTGGCTACAGCACTCAAGAGTACAAATGCAAACAGTAAACTTAATAAAAATTTATTATTTGTACATCTGTCTTGTGTGTAGTTGTAGTACTACTCACGCCTACACACACACACACACACACACACACACACAAACAAACACACGCACACAAACAAACACACACACATACAAACATACAGTGTTTTAACTTTAATTCTAATAAACTTAATGATGTCAAAAATGTAATAAAAAAAATACTAAACAACTTTTTTCAGACAAATTCAAATTTACATATTTATAAAAATTTTGCTTAATCATTAATCATTGAAATAACATGTGTGCGTGTGTGTGAGTGTGGTGCGTGTGTATGTACACATATGACAGTCATTTGTTTGAATTTATCATAATCAAATCAAATAAAAAATATATACAAAAAATGAATGATTTTAACTTAAACATAATCAAATCAATACTTTGGTTATTTTTGGCCACAATATGAAATATATATGAGTGAATGGATGAATGAATGACTGGACAAAAAATAAAAAAAATGGATGAATTAATGAATGAATGAATAAAAATGAAAAACAAATGAATAATAAATTAATATTAATAGATGAATGAATGAATGATAGATAGAATGGATGAGTAAAAAAAAACTATCCAATAAATTAAAATTAATAATTAAATTTTATTTTGCTAGTAAAAGAAGAAGTTAGTATGAAAATAAAATTAAGACAAATCAAAGCTTGCAATGATGATATGATACATGGTATATATAATTATATTATAATTATTGTGACAATTATATATGGTCACAATAATTATAATATAATTTATAATACAGAAAATATTTTATTAACTCCATTTCTTTAAAAATAATCCACGAAAATGGACGTTTTTAAATCAAAAAATTCCAAAAAAAAACAAAATAAACAAAATAAATCAAAAAAAAATCAAAAAAAACAAAATAATTAAAAAATAAATTTAAAAACGTTATTTTGTTAAAATTTAACAGTTAAATTAAAACAGTTCAACCACTTTGGACACAAATATTATATTATCCATAATTATAATTCAACCAACAAAAATGAACATTAATTTCTAACATTTTTTGAAAAATACAATAATTCAAAAATATTTATTTAATTATTTATTATTATTTAGTTGTGAGACTTTTTAAAAACGAAATTTTAAATTATTAAATAAAATGATAGGAATTTGATCGCATAGCCGCAACGAGAGAGAAGTTAGAGTAGACTAATGCGTAAATATGTCTAAAAGTGAATTTATCTTAAGCCTGTATCAATCATCGTTTAGCGCCCTGGAACCCAGTTCTCCCGAAGTAGGACGTTGTTTTCTTTGTCATCACTTTTTTGTGCCAAATTAGGCGATCAGTTGTATTCATTTTATTTAAATTTGAAGCTTTCATGTCTTGCTCGATTGTTTGCGACCAGGACTTCTTTGGACGGCCTTTGGGACGTGTGCCAGGTACGGTTTTAGAGAGAAAGTTTTTGCATTAACATTAAAAACTTTACAGTCTTCAATTATTCAATAACTTTGTAGGGTTAAAATTCGGTACGCTTTTAAAGAAAAAGTTTTTACATTTTAGGCTAGGGGAGGCCTATTTACCAATATACAACACTTTCTCTTGGGTTGAAGCAGGGATATGCAAAGAATATCAATTTTTTCAACTTTTAATTAATTTCGGTAATGTCAATTTTATTTTTTTAAATTTATACCATGGGTATATATTATATCCACGATTTTATATAATATAAAACTTGACATGTAAATGAGGAAGCACTTGACGATTTTCTTATAAGATAAAGTTTACCTCATATAATTAGAATACCCCTTATCTAAATTTCTCAAAAATTAAGTTGAGTACTGATAAACTGATGAAGTTGAGTAGTTGATTAATGACATTTTTAATAAATATTAGTAAAATAATAA